ATCACAAATGAAGGAATCATACTTTTTCTTCTTCTAGAATAAAGAGTCTCACTTTTATAAAGTTGAAAAGTCACAATAGTGAAACCTTAACGAAGTATTATCTGTGGCACATTTCAAATCCAAGGCTACTCGCTCCTTTGGCCTTGGGGAAGTACACCTTCCTGTGACATAATGTGAAAAGTCCTCCAAAGCAATTTGGAGCACAGATGAGTCTTTCCTGTGGATCAAGCAAGCACTACAGCAATTGTACTGTGTTAACCAATTGTTTGCCTATTCAAAAAAGTAAGGACATCATTTTCTCTAAACTGTTTAAGTTTTGTAAGCTTGCTTAAATCTGTATTTTTTGGCATTTGCCTGAAAGAAGACAGCAGATGCTTACTTTTTCTTGCACAATGGAATTAAGAATTCAACTTCTCAACCTTCAGCATTTAGTGTCTCATCAAGTCATGGTGACCTTTCAGGATAAATTCACATAATTTGTGGCTATTTTCTTTCCAATTATCTCATTGAAAACAATGTTTCTTTTATGACAAAGGGCTTTAGCATTTCTCTTTGTAATTCTGAAAATACTAATTTTCTTTATTAAGCAATGAATTTAGTTTGATGCTTAACACCATTCAAACAAATTGAGTACATATTGGTAATTTATTTTCCTTTTTATCATCACTGGTTTAAAATTCAATAGAAAATAATTCCTTCCTATGACTTAATATGGATTTCTAGGTCAAAAACAAGCTACATATAGTTTATCTATAAAGGTGAGGTTTGTATTAAGTGAGGAAGGAGGTGATTAAATGAGATGATTTTGGCCTGACCAGACAAAGGTAAGCAGGAGTATGTGGAATCTGAATGGGGATGGAGGAAAAAGGGAACAAAATTAAAGGAGCTAAAAAACAGGTGGGGGGGGGGGGGTACAACAGCCTTTTCTCACAAGCCCTAGAGAGTTCTACCCAGAGAGTTATACTAGGAAGGAAGGAACAAAAGTTTATAAAGTTGAAACATGACCTAGTAGTAACATAAAATGCAGCTCACAAGGACAACTAAACATAGCTCCCACCTAATAAGATAACATGAAGGTCCTAGTTATAGCATGTGTCTAGATGTCCCCCAGAGCCTCATGCCGTCATTAGGCATTTTTGGAGGCGGCTGAATCTAAACTATATGATTCGTGGTGCAGTGGTGGGATTACCGGTGCTGCGGGAAGGGTGGATGACTGCTGGATCGATCACCCACTGACTGGACTGGCACTACCTGTATCCCCAGCAGACTGGGTAGGTACAATATATGCGACAGAAAGAGGCTTATCTTGTCTCCCCTTGGTGCTTCTGCTATTTAGTGGGTGCCAAGAACTGTTCTCTGCCATGCCACCCTGCCTTAGAGCCAGCTACTAATGGACTGAAGCCCCTACAAACTGTGAGCTAAATAAACCCTTTCCTCTTTACCTGCAGGTTTTGAGTATTTTGTCTCAGCAACAAGAAAATAACTAAGACAGTATTACTATACACTTTCAACAATTACATAAACATTAACTACAGTTACTTTTATTACTGATTTGTAACCAATTAGAAATCAAAACCAAAGTCATGCATGTTTCACTAAGTACTCAGTGAGAATGTCTAATGAAAGTTATTGAAGGCAGGGCTTTTCCTCTACAGCACTGTGGCATGTTAGGCCAGTCATCCTCTGCTGTGGGAGGCTGTCCTATGAGCACCGTAGGATGCTCACCATCATCCTTAGCCTTTGCCCACTAGGGACTATGAAAATCCCCACCCTGCCCTGGCCAAGTAGTGAAAATAATGCCACCAAACATTGCCAGACATTGCCAAATTGCCTTTCGGCTGGAAACTGCAGCTTTAAAACATACAAGAAATCTAGAAATTATACCCACTGCTCTGCCACACAAACTGAAGACCGAGAGCTGGTTGAGATGACAGAGTGGTAATGTCCAGAGCAGCAGCCATGAGCCACATGTGTTTACCCAGCACTTCACATGTGGACCCAGGCAGAGCTAGGACTCCCTACAACTGTAGGAAAACACATCGGACTTTGAAGACTTAGTATGAACAAAAGGAGGCACTTAAATAATTTTATATTGACTGCATGCTAAAATGATGGTCTGGATCCAGAAGGTTCAATAAAATACATTATTAAAATTAACTCCATCTGTTATTTTTAATCTTATTAAAAATGTGGCTACCAGAACAGTTCAAATTATTTATGTGGTCCTTGTTAGAGGTCTACTGAACAGTGCTGAACTCACACAAGAGAGGGCTGCTCTACACTACCCATTCTAGACAGCCTCCGATGGGAAGAAAGGGAACTCGGAAGAGCTCAGTCTTCAGATTTCTCTTTACATTTTCTGTCTTCTCCTTAGACAATCCCCAGTCTCGCTGCTTCACTGAAATTACTGCTCATAGCTGACCGATCCCCCAGCTGCATCTGCAGGCCAGAGCTCCCGAGTCCTAGGCTTACACACTCCAGTGTCCCCTAGTTGGATACCTTAGAAGAACCCCAGACTTAAATGTACTCAGGCCCACAAAGGCTTATCTTCCAAGGCTCCTCATTTCAGTGAATGATCTTACTGATGCAGCTGCTTCAGCCAAAATCCTGAAGTCTTGAGACCACCCGCCCACTTCATTCTGCCTGCACCCCTCACAAAATGCTGCTTTGTCTCCTTGAACATTTCTGGTATCCTCCCTTTTTCTCCCCCGCACAGGCCAGACCTTGTCACTGTTATTTCCCTTGAATCAACTCTTCCATCCTCCTTTAAACTCTTATCACACCGGCTCTGTCCTTCTTAAGATACTTACCTAACAGGTCACAATTTGGTTCATTGTTCTTTCCTACTGAACACTGCACAACATAAATAATGCAGTAGAGCTTTCTTTGCTTATCATTGTAACTTCAATTTACTGACTGATGAATTAACAGATAAATGAATGAAGAAGGGCACAAACTACTAAACCATGAGTTGTAAAGTAAAGAAGCTGGACTATAAGACCAGTCAGTGGCTATCAGCATAGAAAGCCTGAGAAAACAGCAATCCTGATGTCTAAATATCAGTGCTTATGTACTGACCTAAGTTCCAAAATTCTAGAAACAGAAACAAAATCCTTGAGGCAAACGTTCCTCACTGGACGCCTTACCAGATCTGTCTAGTGTGCCTAACCTCATGGTCTCTCCGTCAACAGTTGGAGGTCAGGAAAGAGCAGCTGCGGAACGTCTTGCACAACCTGAGCCCTGAGCCCTGAGCCCGACGCTAACCTGATGGCCAATATTGTCTGTCTCCAATGCCACAATCCCAGAGTATCATTAGTTTCACCACCCCCGGTGAAGGCCTGCTAAACTCTATACAGAGCTAAGAGCAAATGTGAAGAAGCGTACTTCTGAAGGAAAGTCATTCTCCAGTAATACAAGTTTGAGGCAAATAACGACACCTCTCTTAGTCACCACTCCGGCTTCATTTCCCAGCCCTGTGATGGAAACCCATGGTGGGCTGTCTGTATCACTGAAAGCTCTACCAGGTTCACCATCACCACTAGTTTGAAATGAGCAGTGTTTATATTAACTAGAAAGTCACAGCTGTTATTCTGAAGGCTTAAAAACAGCCAGGATTTTCATGGATGTCAGCAGTACTTAATGTATCCCAGATCTACACCGAGGAACAGGAACTTGTGAAAGACTTCTGGCAATGGATGTATTTAGAGAAGAACATGGAGACACACAAAACTAGACTCGTGTTTTCGTCTGTCACTTACCTACTGCTTCTCCAGTAAGTGAGGGAGTAGATGTGGGTACAAGGGACATGGAGATGGGAGAGAGAGAGCGTGGCAAAGCCAGGGTTAACTAAATATCTGAGAGTACTGTTTAGGCCTACAGTGTATAACTGATTCTCTAAAATATGCAATTCTTCTCTAGAAACTATATAAAACATTTTTTTTTGCATTTTAAAATTTTTGTTTTGGTTTATTAGTATGTGTATAGTAAGTAATGTTTACATTCCTTGTGGGACGCTGGCACACGTACAAAAAATCATTTTTATAAGATGAAAAAGGAGGTTGAGTCTGCGTGAGTAAGGGAACATTAAATTGTTTTCCTCTTCATTTACATTCCTTTATGGCCCAATAAAGAAAACAAGGGTAATTACCTGGTTCTCACCATTCAGGAAACAGGATAAAAGGATTTAGGGGGGATGTGGCTTTTCTGAACTAGTTGCCCTGTTTCTAGAAATGACTCTCAAAGAACTGTGAGAAATTTATCAAAGGCCATTTTTCTCCTTAATGTTTTCTGGTGAATCTTTTCTGTCACAAAGTTTAGTGCCTCCAATTATCTCTCTTTTGCTAATACAAATGAGGAGCAACAAAGCAGAATAGAAGACTTTGGAAAAAACCAAATAGAACACTGACTCACTGACTGAGGCCTCTCAATGTCCATGTGCCTTGCAGAAACCGTGCACTTTCAGCTGAGGTACAGATCCTCAGAGGGAACAAAATGTGGTGTAGGGGGCAATCCTGCTCTTTTTCTACCAAGCAGATATACAGTGCTTTGGTATTAAACTTTTCATGGGAAGGTGAGACTGGGACGAAATAAAATGTCTAAAAAGGTTTTTCAGGCAGGCGCAAAAACAAAAGGCTAAGAACACTTTTCTTAGCCTTCATTATTTTTTAAACTAAGTGGCTCGGTATCAACTATTTTTTTTTTCTTTTTTTGGTATCAACTATTGTAAAGGATTATTACAACTATCTCTGCATATATAGGAAGAATGAGAATAGAAATAAAGCAGGCAGGAAAATAACTGAAAACTGTACAACATTAGTTAATATATAAATAACATGAAGATTCAAACACACAGAATGATCGAATGATCAACTGCATCAATAAGACAACTTTCTCACTATTTTATTCACTAAATACCTAATGTCTATCCAAAGAGAAAATAAAGGCATAGTAAAGTCAAGTAACATATGCAAGAAATCTATAAATGTGGCAAAAATACAAACCTAAAACACCAATTTTAAGACCTGCCAGGCCTGTTTGAATTTTATCATAAATATCTTCTGATGAAAAGTCAACAGCAATGGTCTTAGTCTCCACTTTGAATTTTTCTCCTGCAGGGAGAAGGAGCAAAAAGAAAAAAGTAGGATAAATTAATATACAGCAGTTAGGATGAAAGCATTCGATAACATTATCTTTTTAAATTCTTTTTTTCCTCCCAATGTGATATGACATTTAGACCAGGATAATTTTAGGCAATCATGAGACTAAGAGATACTCCACAGTCAATACAATAGTTCAGCAATTAAAAATTCCAATGTCGTCACAGGGTTGGCTGAATGTCCCTTAATCAACTCTCCCTTTAGAAATCAATAATGATAACTACTTTTTAGACCCTTCGGTACAAATAATAAACCATGATTCATATCATGATGTTATATACTCTTCAAGTATGACCGGCTTTGTGCTTTTAATTGCAAATTGATGCATCATAACTTCAGGAAAAGGTCTTTATGTAAAATACCTTAAAGTGTGACATTAAAATAAGTTCATTTTATTAACGCGGAAAGAAAATGACTGTGATTTTACTGTAATTTTGGAGTGTGGTTAGTAGTCACTATATTCAAAAATCCACACATAATACACAGTAATAAATCTATGAAGTGACTCAAGGACCTCACTGTACTCCTTTGCACAGAATTATTAAGGCCCAAACAGAGCTGGTGGAAGTAACAGCTTCAGAAATGATACCCTGGTGAAAGAAAACTCACCTGAGCTAACGCAGAACATTTACTTCGCCTTTGCAAGGCAGCCCCTTTAAGAGCTAGCATGAGCTCTGAGTTCACTCAGGCATAGATGCCAATCTCATTTTCACATTTATTTGCAAAATAACTTCAAACAAGTTACCAGTCCTCTATGAGTCTCTGCATACTAACGTGCAGCTGAGGACGTGGGGCTCAAATGGTGGCTACTGGCATGTGGAAGGCTCCGCCATCCCATTCCTTGCTTCTCTTAGAGGACCCCAGTAGGTGAAGAACACTATTCTTTGGAACTTATTGAGGAGTCAGAAGAACTACTTTTAAAACCCTGCTTCTAAAAATAAATCTTCAGTCGAAGTCAATGTCAGCTCATCACTGAGTGTGCATGATTAATCCTTATAGGAAGTATCCATTCTTGATCTAAAAGGATTTATATTTAAAACTAAAGAGCTGGTTCGTGAGAGGCTGGATTCTCAGTTTGATTCAATGAAAAGTATTGACCCTAGGTGGAAATCCATGCATCAACTGGCGAGAAGAATAAGTGGCCAAGAAAATCCGTACTTGGTGTTAAGGGTATGCTTCCCATCACAATACAAGGTGTGTTTGTGTAATGGATAGTCGCATAGAAAGCTATCATCTCACAACAGCTGGTTCAACACGTCTTACTACAAATATAAAGGACTCACAGAAGTACAAAGTGCTCACTTCATTACCACCTCACATTCACACAGGGAAAAAAGCCCCAAATCAAAAGGCAGCAAGGTTCCTTTTAATTTATATAAAATGTTATTCAAGAATAAAAGACAAAGTTACCTATTTATTTTGAAAAGCAAAGTATTTTTTTTACACGACACATTTAGAAACATCCCACCACCTCACAACCCCTGAATCAAACCAGGATTTGATGAATGTACATACATTAGTATGTCATGGTAAAGACTTGTATAGCTTTGCTACTAAAAACAATAACATTTTTTGAAAGAATGTTTAAAAATGAGCCTCCTCAGCAGCTTTCTTTTTGTTCACATTAGGATAAGCAAAATGGCTTCTGATATTAAAATTTTGAATTCATACCTTGATTATGGAGAATCATATTCTAGTCCAGTTAACATTGCTCCCCCTCTTTATTTTTCTTGAGTGCCTCTGCTGAGGGCTACTTTTTTAAAAACATAGCTCAGATCATATCACAGACCTCCAAAGGTTTGTGTCTCACTTAGATGAAGAGCCAGACACTTCGCTAAGAGCTTGACGCTTCTCTGAACTCATCTCTGGTAACCCTCTTCCTTTGCTCCCCAGTTTCAGCCATTGCTCCCCCTGACAGCTATTTATTTATTTGTACTGGGAATCGAACTCATGACCTCAGGCTTGCCAAGCAGGCACTGTACCCCTGGTCTAAATCCCAGGCCCTCGCAGCTTCTTAAATGTGCTCTAGATAAATGCAGGGAATTGGCCTCCACTACGTCCTCTGGCTGGAATGCTCTTCATCATCTCTTGCCACAGTTGGCTCCTTATGGAAATGTTACCTTCTCAGAGAAGCCTTACTTGATCACTTTAAAAGCTGTCACCAGAGTGCTGGGGATTTAGCTCAGTGACATAGCAGGTGCAAGGCTGAGAGTTCAATCCTCGGTGCCAAAAAAATAAATAAGTAAAACATAAAAAATGCCACCACCCCTCCCACTCTGCCACATCATTTCTTTCCTAAAAAACAAGTATGTTCTTGTCATTTCCCAGTTTACTGGCCTGTGCTAGGTCATTACAATCCATGGGATGAAACATAAATTTGTTACAGAGCCAACTTCACGTATGTACAGAGCTTCACACTTACAAAGACCCAAGTCTGGTTTAGTGCTCATCCACCTTCTGCTTTAAGCCATCCCATGTACTTAGCGTCTGATGCACTGTGTACTTTAATAACGCAGGTGACTGTTGGTCTATGCCCCTGCTAGAACTAACTGCACCAAGAGAGGGACTTTGCTCTGTCTCATACAGTTACTGAACAATGACACAAATAACCCAACATTCTCTTAGGCTGTGTCTCCTCCTGATTTCAAGGTCCACAACCATTCCAAATATCATATGCTGACAATAATGTTCAGAGATAGAAACTCAGCATTTCTGTGATATGTTCTTTTCACCGACTGAAGGACACCTCAGAAGATTCCAGAAAATTCCCCTCACATTTCTTCTCTTTGTATCATGGTAAAATGTGCTTTTGATCAGGCTCATCTATGGATGGGCTGAGGATTCCATAGACTGGTCCCACATTTACCACCAAGTTATGTGAAGCAAAAGCAGGACCATCTATTTAAGAACAGAACAGGCCCAGGTTATCAGAGAGAATTATGATGGGTATTCTCATAGGCTGATGTGGAAAGTGATTGGCTTCATTAGGAACCGGGGAAGTCATCCTAGGTGGGGCATCTTCCCTTTCCTGTAGCCTGTCGCACTGCATCTGAACCTGCTAACAGATCAGGCAGACTAAAGGGATGAGAATCTCCTAACCTATAGCATCAACACATGGGTATATTAAGCACCTCGAAGAGAAACAGACACCAACACTTGGTGTACAGTAGCCATCATGGCACCTTCATGCCCCTCCTACACTACTCCAACATTTCTCATAAGGTCACCAGTCCATGTTACAGTGACAGCCCACCGCTGTGGAAGAGCAACAACTTCACCAAAGGCTTTGGTGTGACTCCTTCTGGGCACTCCCATCCTGGCCCCACCATAAGGGCCCAAGGGAATAACACAGACTTGGTTTTCTTCCACAGCAGAGCTGTAATAAGATGCAACTGATGCCCTACAGGTATGCAAGATAAAAATACACACAGGACAGAATTTAGAGGTTGCGATGGTGAACCACTAGGCTTCCCCAACAAGGAAACACTTTATGCCTTGACTCTGGGAGCACCATCAGTGGTCAGCTTCAGGCATCAGCCCCTTTTGGGACTGGCTTGCATAAGATCACATCCTTCCGTGTGGTCGCATCCAGTGACTGATCACACTGGGAGTATAAACCTACTGCACAGCTTGTACCTTGTAGCTTCTGATTCCAGAAGTAGAGTCTGATTATTCTTTATTTTTCTGTTTTTTGCAATGACCTACTTTTAATTATTTAAGCTTTAAAATAGCTTTTAATGTTCCTAATAATCTAAGTCTCCTTGAGTGATCTTTTTCAAAAATTTACTGCTTGTTCTTACCTGTTTAGTATCAGTTTTTACTGGCTTTGCATTAAGCACCTCAATTAAATTTATGAAAAATGACAATGTGGTGTTCCCTCTAGGCTCTCCGCTTGTTCAAATGCTTTATAGCTGCCTCATAGTAAAACCTTTTAGTTGTAAATTATTAAGTAAAGGAATCAAAGAATTCCATTATTATAATACCCCCACCATTGTGCAAAGATAATCAATACTGTTGCTGATGATGTCTACTGACAAACTGTTCTGTATCTGAGACCGGATGGGATGGCATCCTGCTCCTTACAGCTGTAGATGACTGTGGTTGTGTCCTCCCCTCTCTTTTTTTCAAAAATGAGAAGATCCTTAGGTCCTGGTGGCTAAGACCAAGACCCAACATGCAAGAAAGTTCTAATGACTGGTATGAGCTGTTCAAGGCAGCCACTTTGCTAGAAATGGAAACAGAAACTCAATTCTGGCTTTAGCAGACAGTGAAGCTAAGAAATGGCTAAGCTGAAACTACCCACTTGCGTTGTACAGTGTATCTACGGTTCTGCAGCAAACAAAATAGCTGCAACTGTGAAAACCAGAAAGCTAATATTATTTATAACTAGAAACTACCCAACAATGAATGTATTCACTGGCCTCAAGCTACTCCATCACCCAAAAGCAGTAAGAGTTCTACTTGTAAGACACAGAGTCATCTTGGGCTCAGAATAGCCTGAATTACTTCATGTTCGAGTCTGGAATTAACACCAAGAGGGGGACTGCACCCATAAGGGCTCAAGATGCTGCTGAAACACCTCTCAGCAATTAAAACTGACACACATCTAGGTTCAAGCCAATAAAATTCATAACTATTTATCAAAGCCTTACATTTACCTTATTTCTAGGTATGATCATCATTTTCATTTTGCTCAACAAATTAGCATCTCCTTAAGAATTTAACAATCTTCTTCTAAGAAGAATTTTATAAATTTTGTGAAGACATTTCTCAAATTTCTCTACTAAAGGAGTAGGGTTATTAAGGATGAGACTGCCAGAGAAAAGTCTAATCTACATGAAATTTTGCATTATCTATAATTTTTCTATTGCTACATAACCATAGATTCTCATTTGTTCCTATCCTGCTTCAAATAGTCTGTTTTCTCCATAAAGCTTCTAGTTCTATCCACT